CTCCAGAATCTACCTTTTTCGATGGGACTTGGACTGTTGACTTTGTTAGGGGCTGGACACTAAGATTGCGTCAAGATCCCATTACCCCCCAGCGGCCTGGACAATGCCTTCAATATCGTATAAGCTTTCTAAGACATTAGGTCCTCCCTGATGTCTCCCACAGCTGACGTTAAGCTAATCATCTTATGCAACTAATTTACACCGGTCGTTTTGTCTTTCCCCGTTTGACTATGCGCATCTGCAAGGATAGCTAATAACGCTGGAAAAGAGAGCTTATTACTTGTGTCTTTCAATTACTTGTGTTAGCGCGGGAGTCGAATGAGAGGGCTTCTGAAGTAAAATGAATTCTGACTTGGCTAGAGAGAGAATCAAAATGTTGGAGGGACTGGGCTCGCTCACTAGGCTATTTTTCATTCTTCTAATTGGAAAATTTTCTTGAAATAGTGGTACTAATTCAAACACAGTATGATGTTGGCATATTGCGATTATGTCGACGTGTATGCAGTGATTAGGCTAGGCTTTCCACTCTGCGTCGCCTTGACGACAGCCGCATCCTGACTACGTTTATGCGCAATTCGCTCATGAATACAATTCAGGGGTGATAGAAAATAGGAAATGGGTCCCATTAAGGTGCATCATAGGCTAGAATAGAGATATTAAGTCGTTCCGAAAGTTCTTTCCGTTTTTTCGATCTATTGTAAAGACACTTGGAATACAGATGAACGAACGTTCCAAGGACTGTTCGACGCAGTATTTCTTGCTCTTTTCAGCAGTCATGCTGTAGAATCACCTGCTTTGGTGGTTACTAAGATAATTGCAGAAGTATTAAACTGGTTCTTAGCAAGCCCATATTTGGCAAATTTTCACATTTTTTATTTAAAAGCTCTGAAAGATATTCGATTACAGGTGGAAAAGAGCAAACAAAGTGCAACACTACAAATTTTTTCGGCGTCCTCAGCTGGTTTTCCAACATTACCACGATTATTTTTCCAATTTTCTTATTTAGTAAAGCCAAACTTCGCAGAACGTCAACCGAAAAGAACCGACCGACAATCTGTTCGATGCAGCTTTTTCTCCTCTTTCCGCTAGGCTTTTTTCTCCGCAGTTTGTGGAATTTTCGGAGAAGAGATCGTACAAATCCTGAAATTTTCGACATGCTTATGGCTGTATCCGAAATTTCAGAATCATCCGATATTTCGTAGCGGGTAAAGCTCATTTGCTTTGTGAAATTGGTGTCTAATTGAGTTTTGGAACTCGCAGTTCCAAGAATTTCTTAGTTTCTAATTGTTAGTTCTTAGATGCGTTAGTGTATCATACGACTTCGCACAAGTGAAGGCTTTTAAAAATATTTGAAGACTTTTGAAAAAATCATCTTAAATATACTGGAAAGCTGCTTGGAGATGCCCAAAAAAGTCTGCCTATTGCAGTTTGTTTATTCTATCCTCCTGTTATCACAGCTCTTCCTGAAGTTGAAATCGAAAATTTTGAAAAATTGCCAAACTCAAATGTGACAAGAACCATGGGTTTAAAAGGCGATTGTTTTGATAATTATTTCGGTAGTTTGGTAGCGACCTAATATAGGAAACTTCGAGCACATGAACGTTTCTCAATAAGAAAAATTTCTTACAAACACTCAAATGAGCGGTCTGTGAGTCAAATTGTTTTTAGGTAAAATCAAATATTCGGAACGTGTGTATGATTCATGCATGGATTCATTTGATGCATTGCCATTGGCGGCTTTGATGAATCAACAGTTTCTGTGCGTGCATGGTGGCTTGTCGCCTGAGATTCACACGTTGGATGACATTAAAAGGGTACGTGGGTTTTGTAGAGATAGTTCATCTTCCACAATTTTGATTTCCTTTTTATTTAGTTGGATCGCTTCAAAGAGCCACCTGCTTTTGGCCCAATGTGCGATCTCCTTTGGTCGGATCCCCTCGAAGACTTCGGCAGTGAAAGGAACGCTGAGCAATTCAGTCATAACTCTGTTCGCGGTTGCTCGTATTTCTATAGGTATGCCGAACTTTATCACTGAAAGTGCTGCACAACTTTAGGAGATTATGTGATTTTTTTTCTGCGGTTTGCTTTTTTT